CTAGAAGACTTCACTCATCCTCTCTAGGGGAGCTACTCCAATCAGGTCCCTTACCCAGCAACCAGCGCCCACTACCTAGAGCTCTGGGTGCCCCCAAGGTGAAACCACAAATAACTTCTTGCCAAAAGAGCAGCGCTTCAGAGAAAAGTAGAGGAACTTCAGAGAGAAATTTCCAACCACTCAACCTCCTCTTCAGAGAAAGCCAGGTCCTGCACATTGTGTGACTCCTGTCCAAACTGTTGTATGAAAGGACTAATAAGTCAGGAACTTGGCCTTTGCAGCACCTTATGGGTAGAAAGCCTTCCATGTTTTAAAGCCATTTATGGAGAAACCTTCAGATGCTGTATTTATTTCAAGTCTCTCTTAGGTGAGTTTAGAAACAGCTGTGCAGGTGATAGTGCAGATAACTTCATTTGTAATTAAAGTATGACACTAAACTTTAGTCACCCAAAGAATACTAAAGTCCTGTAGTCCTATATCCACAGTGGGAACAAGTTTTTCATTTCAAAATGTCTTAAGAACTGAGCACCTGGTAAGATCTAGGTGGGAGAAAAACAAGAGCAGCTGTTTTTACACTGAGAGCATACTTACTGCACCTTGATGTCTGTGTAAGATCAAAATCGCTCCTTTCTCAATTTTCCAATTTAGCAAAAAGCATTATCTTGAGACTATTATGGCATAGTAGTAGTTAAAAATGGCTGCAGACATTGTAATTAGGGCATTCTCAAAAGCAGTTAGGAAATGATGCCTCATATACATGCTTTGGGGAGATGAAGGGACAAAGTAGTAGCTGTCATCCAGGAATTCAAGGACCATTCCACACCCTTCATATTACTTTCCATTTGTATGTTGATCATAAACACCACATAAGACATTTTAAAACCTTATTACTCCACCTTATCTTAATGATGATTGGCCCTAAAAGTCTGACTTTAGTGCCATGTTTACATTTCACACGGACACTATCCAAGAGCTTTAACATGTTAAAGAGTTAGTCTCAGTGTCAGCAAGTAAAGCCTCGCTCCTCTGCTCACCTGAGTTGGGTGCTGCTGTCTATTTTCCTCTGTATAAGAGCCATATGTAATATACTGTAACAAAGGAGCTTCCTATCACTTGGTCTTCTAATTAAATGACTTCAAACTTAAAAAAAAAAAAGAACTTCAAGTCTCTGAAGAAAGAAACTGAAGACGATATCAAAAGATGGAAAGATTGCCCATGCTCATCTGTAGGACTAACACAGTAAAAATGACCATCTTACCAAAGGCAATCAACAGACTAATGCAGTTCCTATCAAAATACCAACACAATTCTCTATAGACTTTAAAATAACAATTCTCGACTTCATATAGAAAACCAAAAACTCCAGAATAGCTAAAACATTCCTGTATAATAAAGATCTTCTGGAGGTGTCTCCATCCCTGATCTCAAGCTGTATTACAGAGCAACAGTAATAAAAACTGCATAGTACTGGCATAGAAACAGAATAGTGGATCAATGGAATTCAACTGAAGACCCAGAAATAAATCTAGTGCCCCTCAACTGAAGAATGGATACAGAAATTGTGGAACATTTACACAATAGAATACTACTCATCAATTAAAAACAAGGAAATCATGAAATTTGCAGGCAAATGGTGGGATTTAGAAAAGATCATCCTGAATGAGGTATCCCAGAAGCAGAAAGACATACATGGTATATACTCACTTATAAGTGGATATTAGACATATAATATAGGATAATCATACTAAAATCTGTACTCCTAAAGAAGCTAATCAAGAATGGGTAAGATGATCAATCCTCATTCAGAAAGGCAAACAGGATAGCTATCGGAAGAGGGAGAAAACAGGGAACAGGACAGGAACCTACCACAGAGGGCCTCTGAAAGACCCTACCCTGCAGGGTATCAAAGCAGATGCTGAGACTCATAGCCAAACTTTGGGCAGAGCGCAGGGAATCTTATGAAAGAAGGGGGAGATAGAAAGATCTGGAGGGGACAGTTGCTCCACAAGGAGAGAAAAAAAAATCCGGGCACAGGGTCTTTTCTGAGACTGATACTCCAACCACCCTGCACAGAGGTAGCCCATGGCAGCTCAGTGTCCAAGTGGGTTCCCTAGTAAGGGGAACAGGGGCTGCCTCTGACATGAACTCAGTGGCTGGCTCTTTGATCACCTACCCCTGATGGGGGGTGATGGGGTGCAGCCTTACCAGCCTACAGGGGAACACAATGCAGCCAGTCCTGATGAGACCTGATTGACTAGGATAAGATGGAAGGGGAGGAGGACTCTCCCTATCAGTGGATTGGGGGAGGGGCTTGGGAGGAGAAGAGGGAGGGAGGGTGGGTGGGATTGGGAGCAGGCTACAGCTGGGATACAGAGTGAATAAACTGTAATTGATAAAAAATAAATTAATTAATAAAAAAAGAAAAAATGGGGTATAGAGCTAAACAGAGAATTCTGAACAGAGGAATATTAAATGGCAGAAAATCATTTAAAGAAAAGCTCAATGTCCTTAGCCATCAGGGAAATGAAAATCAAAACAACTCCAAGATTCCATCTTACACACATCAGAATGGCTAAGATCAAAAACTCAAGTGACAACACATGCTGGTGAGGATCTGGAGAAAGGGGAACATTCCTCCCCTGCTGGTGGGAGTGCAAACTCGTACAGCCACTCTGGAAATCCATCTGGAGATTTCTCAGAAAATTAAGAATAGCTGTACTTCAAGACCCAGCCATACCACTCCTGAGTATATACCCAGAAGATGCTCCACCATTCTGCGAGAACACTCGTTCATAGAAACTTTATTTGTAATAGCTAGTATCTTAGCAACAACCTAGATGTCTCTCAACTGAAGAATGTATAAAGAAATTGTGATACATTTACACAATGGAATATGACTCGGCTATTAAAAACAAGGAAGTCATAAAATTTGCAGGCAAATGGATGGAACTAGAAAAGCTCATCCTGAGTGAGGTAAGATAGATGCAGAAAGACACACATGGTATATACTCACTTATAAGTGGATTTTAGCCATATAATACAGGATAAGCATACTACAACTCACAGACCCAAAGAAGATAATTAACAAGGAGGACCCAAGGAAGGATGTTTAATTCCCACTCAGAAGTCCATACAGAATAGACAGTGAAATTGTTGAAGAGAGGAAACAAGATAAGAGAGGGAACAGGAGGAGAAATGAGGGTCAGTTTTAGAACTGGGGAGAGTGGTAATGGAAGGACAGACAGCTTGTAGAGAGAAGAGAAAACTTGGGTGGGGTCTCCAGCTTGTCACAGAGAAGTTCCCACCCAAGTTTTCTCTTCTCTCTGCAAGCCCTCTGTCCTCCCAGGACAGGCTCCTGGGAGATATGAGGGTAACTAAATGAGACTCCTAGTAATAGGGGTCATGGAGATTGTAGAGGCCACTTTCTAACGAGGCACAGCTGTTGGAGGGAGGGGAACACCAACCCACTCCAAAAAACACTGCCTAAAATTTACCCTGCCTACAAGATGTTTAGGGACATAAATAGAGCATAAACTGAGGGAATGTCCAACCGAATGACTGGCCCACCCTGAGACTCACACTGTGGGAGACACCAGCCACTGACATGATTGACAATACTCTCGCCTAACATAGCTGTCCTCTGAGAGGCTCCACCCAGAAGCTGATGGGAACAGATGCAGAGACCCACAAACAAACATTGGGTGGAGTGCAAGGAGTGTTTTGGAAGAGTTGGGGGGAAGGATAAAAGGACCCAGAGGGGACAGGAGCTACACAAGAACTACACAAGAAGAGCAACAGAGCCAACTAACCAGGGCCCATGGAGGCCTGTGGAGACTGAAGCATCAACCAAGGATCATGCATGGACTGGACCTAGCCTCCCCCAACCCCCAACAGATGTAGCAGATTGGCAGTTTGGTCCTCATATGGACTCCCTAGTAAGGGGAATGGGGGCTGACTCTGACATGGACTCTGTTGCCTACTTTTTGATCACCTTCCCCTGGCAGGGTTACCTCACCAGGCCACAGGAGAGAGGATGTGCTCAGTCCTGATGTGATTGGTGTGCTGGCGTGGGTGTGTAAGGGCACACTCCTCTCCTCTGCTGTTTAGAGGAGGGGAGATAGGGAAAACAAAGAGGGAGGGTGGGACCAGGAGGAGGAGAAGGAAGGTCTATGATGGGATGGAAAATGAATAAATAAAAATTAAAATAAAAATACCAAAAAGGAATAAAAAAATGAAATGCAAGTATAAAATTCTGAGCAGAGAGGTAAGTTTATGGACTTCTTACTCCATATGCTATGTGTATGAGTTTTCAACGTCTCTGTTAACAAATCTTCTGCCCCAAATTTCACAGAGTTAAAAAAAGAAAACCAAAACTGCCCCTCAGTCCAATCCAGTGTTACGAAAGAGAGCCTTCGATAAGCCTAGATTTTATGTCATATGTTAAACATTTGACAACATTTTAGGCTGTGCTTACATTTTCCTATAATGCTTTTTTATGTTTAAAATGTTACAAAGATTGTTTTTAGACCAGGTGGTGATGCATACCTTTCATCCTAGCACTTTCCTGTGGGGCAGAGGAAGGCGCATCTCTAGTTCAGGGCCAGCTTGGTCGGAGGAAGCTCCAGGACAGGGAGAGAAACGCTGCCTCAAAAACTAAAAACAACAAACAAAAAACTCCACATAACAAACCTCTAATAGAAGAAGCAAACATTTGATGAGTCAAGACTCCAAGATTCTGGGCAGGAGAGAGCACAGAGGTTAACAGCACTGCAGAGCTCAGGCAGAGGACCTAAGATCAGTGCCTAGACCCAAAGCAGGCAGCTTACAAGTACATAGAACTGTAGTTCCCTAGAGACCAGAGCACTCTTCTGGCCTCTGAAGGCACCACAAACAGAAATGTACACACACACACACACACACACACACACAAATACATACTAGTACTATGACTACTACATAAAAACACACACACACACACACACACACACAAAACTTTCACAGTCCTTGAAGAGGATTTATTTCATGACTCTACTCAGCCATCCACATTACCAACAGAAAAGTGAACACTGGGATCCACACAAGATTTAAAAGTTGTGAGAACTTATTCCCAGGGGAAGAGTCCAGGAGGGAAACCGGCCATTTTCTCCTGGTACACTTTCTCGAAGGCTTCAGCTTGGGCTACTGTGAAGTGATTCTTCCAGTCCCCAGTTGTGCCTGGAAAACAGAATCGGACACACAGATGGGTTAACAATGCCTAACACTCTTCTGCTCCTCCCTTCTCGTGCTGTTACCATCGGCCTGACACAGCGGAACTGCCAGTTCTGGAAGAACCCTCCTTCTACCTTGATCATGCCCATACAGACTTCTCCGTCTGTGGAAACTGTGCGGCATCGTTTTCTCTCCCAACCTATCTGCCGGACGACCTGAAAGCAGCATCGCCGGCTCTGCCTTTCTGTGTCCAGTGTTCCTTCTTCCCGTCACACCTGCTTCCGTCCCACTATCCACCCACACAGTGCTCATCATCTCAATGATCCAAACGGACCTAAATTGTTCTTTCTATACGTCACTGTTTACTTACAGAAGCTCTTCACAACAGGCATGCAACCTTTAAATAATATTTTAAATTGCTTTTACTTATGTGTGTGTCTGTTCACACGAGTGCAGCAGATGACACAGCTGTGATCAGCATGTCAGCCATCTTGGTTCTTCCAGCTGAGAACATGCAGAGCTCCTGTTTTCACAGCCATGGTGCTTTGTGGTGCATGAAGATCTATATAGTTTCACCCCCCCTGTTCTTTGTAGCACCACCATGAGCTCATAGGCTGATTCTCCTCACTTCATTCCAGTAGGTGTTTAGTTTTGGCCATAGAGATGTCAGATTGTCCAACTTCTCACTCTGCACTGTGTTCCTTCACCCTGGAGGGCTGATGCCTTTCATAAAATTAAATCTTTTTCTTCTGTCTCCTTCTTGATGCCACTGTAACCTTCTCTTTCTGTCTGTCCTCCACTTACAACCCATTGGCCCTATCCTTGCTTCCTTTTATTTCATAGCTGTGGCACTGGGATTGCTCCATGCATTTCCTTTTTTAATGTATGCATAAAATATGTGTGTAATACATTTGAAAAGTAAAGTGTTTCTTAAATTGCCAAACAGTCCGTTTCTCAAAGAGTGCCAGACATACAGAACATTCTCAGTGTGCGATTGTCGAATGTGTTCATGGGTAAGTGAGGAAGGTGCTGGCATTGGTGCCTCTTTGCTGATGAGGAAAAATTATTCTTTGAGATGTTACCCAGAACGAGAGTAATGGAGATGGATTTCAATTATAAGATTGACAATGGAAATCATTTTCTTCTGTATAACGTCACTCTCTTTATGTATCATCTAAGTTAATTTTAATCCTTCAGTGGGCTATATTAAAGAAAATATAGTTAATGGATATAAGTAAAAAGTGTCATCAGCTCGCTTATATAGACCTACAAGATATGACAAACATAACGAAATCTACACAACTAAAGAAGACAATCAAGAAAGTGGACACAGGCGAAGATGATCAATCCTCATTTAGAAAGACAAATGGGATGTGCTTTGAACATATGACAGGAGTCTACCACAAAAGGCATCTGAAAGACTCTACCTAGCAGTGTTTCAAAGCAGACACTAAGACTCATAACCAAACCCTCGGCAGAGTGCAGGGAATCATATGAAAGAAGGGGAGTTAGTATGATATGGAAAGGATAGGAGCTCTACAAGGACCAAATATATCTGGGCACAGGGTCTTTTCTGAGACTGACACTCAATCAAGGACCATCTATGGATATAATCTAGAACTTCTGCTCGGATGTGGCCCGTGGTAGCTCAGTAACCAAGTAGTTTTCCAAAGCAAGGGGAACAAGGACTATTTCTAACAGGATCTCAAGGGCAGGCTCTTCCCCCCCCCCCCGGGGAGGAGCTGTCTGTTAGGCCACAGAGGAGGACTTTGCAGCCAGCCCTGAAGGTACCTGATAAAACAGGGTCAAATGAAAGGGGAGGAGGTCCCCCCCATCAGTGGACTTGGAAAGGGGCAGGGAGGAGACCAGGGAGGGAGTGTGGGGTTGAGGAGGGAATGAGGGAGCGGGATACAGCTGGGACACAGAGTTAACGAAATGTAACTAAAAAGAAAAATAAAATAAAATAATATATTTAAAAAAAACTCAATAAAATACTCATACAAGAAAAAAAAAAGATGGGAACGTATCAATATCCATTGCTACTCTGAGGTTCCTTATCTTCTTCATTATTAGAACATGTTTTGTCATTGTTTCCCACACCATGCCTGGGTTCTGATAAGCCAGAATAAATGCTGTGCTATCAGATTCTAAGCAAGTTCAGTCTGGCTTTCTACTGGAATCAATCAGTCCATATGTGAGAACCACATCTTTGCAGGTACACGCATGGCGTTCTAAGTCCATCTCTGTCAAAATCCTGCACACCTCACTGGCACACATTTCTCTCTATTCCTTCTTTCTAGAAGTCTCCCCAAGTCTTGTGTGTCAGGTGACAGGATAACCCTAACACATGGTGGCTTGACTCTTGTTGAAAAGGAACTGCCCCATAGTTCAGGATGTTGCTGGTTCTCCAGACCTTCCTAGGCTTTTCTTTTTGTCCTGCAGATGGCAGGCTTCTCCCTCTGTCCTCAGGTCATTTTCCCTCTGTGTCTCTGATGTAATGAAGTCTGAAGAGACCAATGAAAGGATTAATGGCCCAAGTACTGTGTCCAGGAAACACCCACTATTTAGGGCTAGAGCTTCTGATGTTTGTCAGAAGATATTTACCCACAAATGCCTTGATTGTGACATTGTCTTACAATCATCCTGTGGCTAACACTGGCTGAAGAAGGATGAACATTTCAGTCGGAGTTTCCTGCGCTATCCAAACACAGATTTATAATGACTACAGTTGTATGTGGGAAATTAATTGCTCAGAGCTTAAAACCAGATAAATCCCACCTAGGGATGATTGAGTCTCCCAGGTAAAGCTGACAAAATAGCTATGCAGAAGCAACAAAAATTATTTTACTTGCCTTCTGAGAAGAAGAGCAATTAAAGGATAGGGAAAATAAGTCTAGGAAACCCCTTCTGTGTAAGGCCACCTAACACTACCACTTGACACAGCTTTTTGATGCTTTATGATTTAGGGAACTAGGTATCTAATGGTAAATAATAAAATTGACTTGAGAATTAATCTTTTGATTTGCTCATATCTTGCTGATTAAAAAATAACACCAAGTGGTACATCTTGATGGGGGAGAGCCCAGCCCATTGTGGGCGGGGCCATCCTTAGGCCGGTGGTCCTGGGTGCTCTAAGAGAGCAGGCTGAACAAGCCATGGGAGCAATCACTTCCCCCCTGAGGTGGGAGCACCCTTACCAGGCCACAGAAGAAGACAATGCAGCCATTCTTGATGAGACCTAATAGACTAGGATCAGAAGGAAGGAAAAGAAGTCCTCCCCTATCAGTGGACTTGGGGAGGGGCATGCATGCAGAGGGGGAGGAAGGGAGGGATTGGGATGGGAGGAAGGAGGGAACCACGCAGGGGATGCAAAGTGAATAAAGTGTAATTAATAAAGAATTAAAAAATAAAAAATAGCTCCAATCTGATACAGGAATTTCAAAGACTAATATTAATCTTATGCACTTTTTCAAAAGTGCTTATGTACATATCCATTTCTGCATCCCCTATAAGGAAGCAGTTAAGCAAGTGGGTAATGCAGATGGTCTTCCCCAACAGTGACCTGGTTTACAGTGAGACTCATGGCTTTTTAGCTGTGTGTCACACTAGTATAAGGAAAACAATTTCCAAGAGTAAAAATTATCTTCAAATGTAAAAAAAAAAACATATATGCTACATATAATCATTCAGAAAAATAAATTTCAAGAGTTATGAAGTCAGATCAAATGTTTTGATAGAACTACAGTATAATTACTGTTTTTACCATCATGTATGTATGTGTGTATGTATGTAGGTATTCCCCCTATTATCTATGCTACATGACAAACACTATGTGCATTTGGGAGAGATTAAATCCAAGTGTAATTTCATCCTAGCAGAATTTTCTTGGAAAAGACGAAATGAAAATAGTTCTCATGGAATTGTGTTTTAAATTCTATTGCATCTGCTCCAATTTGTCTTTGCCAAAATTTTCCTTGTCAATTTCCATAGCCCTTCTCTATTAAGAAAGCCATTTAATTCCTTGAGGTCTTTAACAACAGCCTTTGATGTTCATATACTATTTTACCTCTGCCGGATTCAGATTCATTACAGGAAACCAAAGAATGGGCCATTTCTCTTAGCTGAGACCTTCGCTTTTAGTACAGAAAATTCTATCTCCACACAATCTAGAGCGCAAGAATCTGAGGTCAGCTGCCTCTTCTAGTGGCCTTGATCCTTAGTGTATAAATACCTGTTTTCTTGTGATGAGTGGTGATAGGGCATTATGTTTAAATCTGAGTCGAAACTTCTGATTGTGAGCTCACCAAGATAATTGAATTAAGTGCATTTTAGTAACTGCTTTAACTTTATTGTCTCTTTGTAAACTCCTGATGTCCTTACATTCTTAGTATCTGATTCTCACACTCTGGAGCAGAAGAGAACTGAAGGTTAAGGCTGGAGCATTTAAAATATAAATTAAACCCACAACTCTCTACTTCCTTCATCCATATCCATGTTTGTACTCATTGTTAAATATCCAACATCTGACTTTCAACTCTGAGTCCCATCTCATTTATTATTTTCTAATCAGGTATTGGTGAGACTCAAGGTGTGATTCATTCTGGCAAAGTAACTTCTCAACTGCATAGCTGTAAAACTTCACCCACAATCTGCTTCCAGAAAAGAGGTCACACAGACATAGATAGCATGGAACTTCCTATTTCAGGAGAGATGATTCAGAATGCAGAGAGGCCAGGAGCCTAAAGCAATTCAAACAGAAGTTGGCAAATACCATCAGATTTTACACTGGAGAACAATTTTCTTAGCTCTTATTGTGTTTCCTCTCAGCCTGCTTTCTGGGGCATCAATATCGACCCATTTGACATCTTTTTTTATCTGTTAATGTACTTTCCATGGTGCTGTGGTTATCATCTTTGCTTTACTGCTCCAAACGTTTTGTTTTTAGAGTTGAGGTCTACAAGACAGGGAGCTTTACCAACCCTCATAGAAACATGACTACTCTTTCATTTTCCATTGAAATTATTGAACATGATGCTCTGCAACCCCAAGATCATCTCCCAGAACAAATCATCTTTTTGGATGCTGAAGCCTCCATCATCACCATGGAAAGATTCCCCTCTAAGGCCTCTGAGAAAGGAAGAGGGATGAGCAATGACTGCTGACACATTCCCAACGTGTCTTAGAGGCTCATTGACACAACAAGCCCTCCACATGATCTGACATATTCTGAATTTTTCTTTTTACCTTTTCTCATGAGCTTCAAACCATTAGTAATCAGGTCTTCTGAAATGAGACTAAAATTGGACATGTTGTTTTCCTTCATGGCTTGGAAGGAGCTGTGCTTGAGAACTAGATCCAGCTCATCTGGCTCTAATTTCTTTCCTAGGAAGTCACAGATCTTCTCTATAGTTCCCCTTGGGTCCTAAAAGAAGAAGAAAGAAAAATGAGCATTATCAACAGAAAGCTCTCTCAAGACAGATGCAGAAAATTAACTGTGGGTGGAGGATCAGAAAAGGGACATGAAGAAAGAAATGGCACCATCAAAAATGGGATTAATAAAGAAACAGGCCATGGAGACAAGCCATAAGTCACAGACACATCAATATGGCTGACCTTTGGCCCCTAAAGACAAGAGGTTGGATTTTCTTTTAGGAAAAAGAGGATATTAGCGACAGGGTCACATATAACTCAGGTTAAACTTAAACTTTCTTTGCAGAGGAAGATGACCTTGAACTTCAGATCCTACTGCCTCCATCCCATTAAGTACACTCAGATGTTTTTTACTTAAGACGGGGTGCTTCACTATAAAGTCTGCCTTGTGGGATGGAAGTTGCTATGGAGACCTGTCTCCCTAGAGTCCACAGAGATCATCCATCTGGCTTTTCCTCCCAAGTGCTAGAATTGAAGTTACATAGAACAATATGCAACCTGCTCCGAGATATTTAAAGACATTTATAGAAGTACTACTAGACAATGATCAAGGTGAATGAAAGAACTTTCTCAATGATCTTGACAGAGATTATGCTTATGTCGAATATAATAATATTTGACATTATATATAATTATACAATAATTTATCATCCATTATAATTTATTATAATTAATTAAATTAATTTAAATAATTAATCATAATAATTTAATTACTATAATAATGAATAAATTATTGTTGATTTATTATAATTTATTACAATTATCTATATATAATTATATAATAATACAATTTATTTCTGTAGGCTAAGTGAGAGTAACACAGCTTTACAAGAGTTACATACAAATGTTCTCAATACTTATTACTTGGAGTATTGCTGAGAGATTCCGTTTTGTTTTGAGTAAGAAACTCATGCTGTACCTCAGATAGACATAAAATTCCCAATCTTCCTGCCTCAGATACCCAATTTTTGGAAGTTCACCTGTTAAGTTAAGCTAACACAACTAGCTTAATCCTAGGTGATAGTAAGGCAAAATCATAATAAGGCAAAATCTTGGAACACTGAACATTTTGCTTTGAATTCTAGCCCTTTCTCAGAGGCCATAAAGTTGTGGTTTTTTGTTTGTTTTTTTTTTTTTGGCTTAAAACTTTTTAATTCATTTCACCACACCTCCAATTTATGTTTTGTATGAAGGCAAACAACCATGAGAATAATTAGAAAGAATATGTTAAATGGACAGAAAAGAGACTGTTGGGAATCCTCAGCATTGTGCAGCAGAGATCACTAGGTAATGGACCTTCCTAGGGAAAACTGAATTTCATAATGAGAAAGTAAAAGATTTTGTACATGGTCAAAAAGGTGTGATGAAAGGCTTTGCATTTTACACGTAAACTTTCTGTTTTCTGAAAGATAACTATATAAGGTCAAATTATTTTTTAAAATATTTTGCTATTTTCATTTATTACAGTTAACTCACTTTGTATCAGGACTGTGTCTCCCTCCATTATCTCCTCCCAACCCCCTCCCTCCCTCTTCTTCTCCCATGCTCCTCCCCTAGTCCACTGGCAGTTAAGTTCTTCCTCCCCTTCTGTTTGACCCTAGCCTATCAGGTCTCATCACCACTGGTTGCATTGTTTTCCTCTGTGGCCTGGCAAGGGGGAGGTGGTCAGAAAACCTGTCACTGAGTTCATGTCAGAGACAGTCCCTGCTCCCCTTATTAGGGACCCCACTAAAAGATTGAGTTTATGGGCTACATCTGAGCCAGGGTTTTAGGTCAAATTATTTTTTAATAATCTTACCTTTCTCTTTTTTTTTTTTCTTGCACTTTGATTTTTTTTCATGAAAATTTATTTTCCTCAGTCTCTTCATGGAAGAAGTTAGGCTGACAACAACCCTTCAACGTTCTCTCTGATTCTTTAATATAACTTTTAATTTATTACAATTTATTCATTTTGTATCCCAGGTGTAGCCCCACTCTCATTCCCTCCCAATCCCGCCTTCCCTCCCTCCCTCATCTTCTCCCTTGCCTCTTCCCCAGTCCACTGATAGGGGAGGTCCTTCTTCCCTTCCATGTGACCCTGGCCTATCAGATCTCACCAGATCTGTCTTTCATAGTCTTCCTCTGTGGCCTGGTAAGGCTGCCTCCCCGCCCTATCACAGGGAGGTGATCAAAGAGCCAGCCAATGAGTTCTTGTCAGAGACAGCCCCTATTCCCCTTACTAGGACACTCACATGGACACTGAGCTTCCATGGGCTACATCTGTGCAGGGGTCCAAGGTTATCTCCATGAATGGTCCTTGGTTGGAGTATCAGTCTCAGAAAAGACCCCTGGGGCCGAATTTTTTGGTTCTCTTGTTCTTGTGGAGCTCCAGACCCTTCCAGGTCTTTTTAACTCCCACTTCTTTCATAAGATTCCCTGCACTCTGCCCAAAGTTTGGTTATGAGCCTCAGCATCTGCTTTAATACCCTACTGGATAGAGTCTTTCAGAGGCCCTCTGTGGTAGGCTCCTCCCTTGTTCCTTCTTTTCACCTTCTTCTGATGTCCATCCCCTTTGCCTTTCTGAATGAGGATTGATCATCCATCTCACCCAGGGTCCCCCTACTTGATTAGCTTCTTTAGGTGTACAGATTTTGGTATGTTTATCCTATATTATATGTCTAATAGCTACTTATAAGTGAGACATGTGTGTCTTTCTGCTTCTGGGGTACCTCACTCAGGATGATCTTTTCTAGTTCCATCTATTTGCCTGCAAATTTCATGATTTCCTTGTTTTTAATTGATGAGTAGTATCCCATTGTGTAAATGTACCATAATTTCTGTATCCATTCCTCAATTGAGGGACATCTAGGTTGTTTCCAGATTCTGGCAATTAAAAATAAAGCTGCCAAGAACATGGTTGTGCAAATGTTGCATACTTGAGCATATTTTGAATATATGCCTAGGAGTGGTACAGCTGAATCTTGAGGTAGCACTATTTCTAATTGTCTGAGAAAGCGCCAGATAGATTTCCAAAGTGGCTGTACAAGTTTTTATTCCCACCACAAATGGAGGAGGGTTCCCCTTTCTCCACCTCCTTTCCATTACGTGTTGTCACTTGATACCAAAATGATATAATGAAAAAAAGACAACATCTTCAACAAATAGTGCGGGTCTAACTGGATATCTACATGTAGAAAAATGCAAATAGATCCACACTTATCACCCTATACAAAACTAAAGTATAACTGGATCAAAGACCTCAACATAACACCAGACACACTAAACCTGTTGGAAGAAAAAGTGGAGAAGAGCCTTGAACTCATTGGCACAGGAGACAACTTCTTGAACAGAAAACCAACAGCACAGGCTCTAAGATCAACAATCAATAAATGGGACTTCATGAAACTGAAAAGTGTCTGTAAAACAAAGGACACTGTCGTCACAACAAAACAACAGCCTATGGATTGGGGAAGGATCTTCACCAATCCTACTTCTGACAAGTGGCTAATATCCAGAATATATAAAGAACTCAAGAATTTTAACAGCAACAAATCAAGTAATCCAATTAAAAAATGGGGTACAGAGCTAGACAGAGAATTCTCAATAGAGAAATACTGAATGGCAGAGAAACTCTTAAAGAAATGTTCAACATCCTTAGTCATCAAGGAAATGCAAATCAAAACAACCCTGTGATTTCACCTTACACCCATCCGAATGACTAAGAACCCTCTAAATCTTAAGATCCCATTCCCCCATATCACCCTTAGGTCTGCAGCAGAAAACCTGTGGCAGCGCTCCCCATTTCTAGTGGATCCAAAGAACTTTACCTTCTAAAATTGTTGGCTCCACTTATATTATCCCAGCCCCCAAGTTCAGCACTTCCTAGGAACTCACAGACCACTCTGGCCAGGGAAACAGGTAAGCTAACTACAGATCTTCACCTCTCCCCACATTTCTCAAAGTCCAGTCACCCAGTCTCATACTCAAGTCTGCATCAGAACACCTGCTACAGCCTCCCTTCTGTCCTTGCCCCAATCTTCAGTGGATCACAGGGATTCAATCCCCCGAATTTCCTTCTTCCCACTCATTGATTTGTCTCAGCCCCCAACTCTAGCACCCTCAGAGAAGCCACAGGCCATTCTGACCAGGGAAGCAAGTAGGCTACAACTGCAACTCTTCCTCCATCTTTTACCTCCAATTTTTGAGTCTCATCCCCAGCTCTTGAGCGAATCTTCTGCTGTGGCCTCTCCTCACTATCTGGACCCAGTCCTAGGAGACAAACTAAGCAAGTTCTGGTGTAACACCCTGCTTTTCTTCTGCTGTAAAGTCCTACCACCAACTCCAGTCCCTATACTTACTCCTAAGTCTCAGGTCCCAATACCAAGAACCACAGTTTACCTTGTACAGGCAGCACAGAGCAACCACATTGTACTAAGAACCAGAGCAAAAACAGAAGCAAAGGTACAAAACACCCAGCCAAAAAAGACAAGGCCAGATATCAGCACATAGAATTTTAATCTTGCCAATCTAGGATGTCTAAATGTGAGTATAAAAACACAATCAATAACAGCCTAGACAATATTAGAGCCTAGTGATCATACCATAGCAGACCCAGGATATTCCAACATAGCTGAAGCACAAGGAAAAGTCTTTAAAACAACTCATACGAATATGATAGAGGTCCTTTTTAAGGAGATGAATATGTCCTTTATAGTGCCTCTTTTCTATGTCATATTAATTAAAATACTTACCCACCTCAAAAAAAAAAAAAAGATATCCTTGACATCATTAAAAAAAAAAACCTTTGGAAAGAAATGGATTAAATCTATCTCCACTTGAGAGTGGAAATAGAATCAATGCAGAAAATCCAAACTGAAGGAAATCTTTTTTTTTTTTGAACCAAAATGAAAGTTTATTTATAAGATGTATACAAAACTAAGATATAAAACTAAAACTCTTGGCATGACAACAAAGCAGACAGCTTTATGAAATATGCAGTATTAATAGGCAATCAAAAATATAAGAAGCAGAATATTCCAGACAGTTGTTAATGTTCACTATGGTTCTCTCCAGGCCCACTTGTATGTGTGGAACCTTTTGAAAGAGAAAAATTAATTTCTCGAGTCTCGCCCCAATGGGTCTCCCTGTGAGGACAGCAAGAGCTAAGATGAAGAATAGGCCCTTCCCAGTGCCATGGCAGTGATGAGGCTCATATATGGGAAGGCCATGCTCCTTAGACACTCTCATAAGAAATAAGAAAGTATTCCTTTCTGGGAAGGAACACCCCCATCCCTGTGCGCTGTGCGAAGGTGATCTTACGGTGTCCTCCTCTGGTTATCTCACCAGAGATATCTGTGAATGAAGCTCATTCAGTGTACTTTGTCTCACCTCAAAGTACCAGACAGACCTGTTTACTACTCATCACTGAATCCACGGTTAACGCAGAGGTCTCCCCCTTGAAGGATGCTCACTGAACATGCTAGCTTCCAACCAGTCCAGTTCTTCCCTTGGGTGTTCTGAGTTTGTGGGTTTTCTGGCAGTGCAGATGCTGTGCTGACCCCAGCACCTTTCCAGGGTGGTAGCCCTGACACCCTGGTGTTCTTCCCAGGATGGCTAACAGAACACCGTGCTTCCCTGAGCAGCTACTTCAGTGTATTCTAATTGCTCCTGTTAGCAGAATGCATAGCATGGCCTTATCTGCTCAAGGATCACTTATTTTTATCACTGAGACAAAAGACCTGACAAAAGCAACTTAAGCAAGGATTTGTCTAATGCTTGAGGGTACAGTCCTTCCTGGCAGGAAAAGACCTGGTGACGGGCATGTAAGGTACCTGGTCACGTTGCATCTGAGTGATGAAAGGGAGAGACAGATAACTTAACCTTAAAGTTGGTGGGTAAGGAGGTGCAGAGAATCTGAAAGGCCTTCGGCACAGGATGAATATGATCAAAATATATTCAAATTTAAAGGTTGTTTTAATTAATAAAATGTAATAAAACAGTGATTGCCAAAACAAAAAGAAATCACACTCTCAGCAGCCTTCCCTATGACCTGGGTCTACTTCTATAGGTAATCAGGCTGGAGGACTGCTTCTTCTAGTCCTTACCTGTGTGGGCCTGTGAGAATGATGCTTACCCTTTTCAGGTCTTCATAGCTCAGTAACAGGACATTGTCCAGTTCTCTAATGGACAGCCAGCCACGGATGTGCTCAAACCATGATCCATAAAAAACTGTGTGAGGGGAGGAGGAAAGTGTCCATTTCAAAACATGAAGTCTGCTTGTTTTTTTTTTTTTCCACTTTTCTGCAAACAGCTGATAGCTTTACTAAGAAAAATCAAACTATTCTTTATTTACAGCATTCAACATGATGTTTGAGACAAACATACACACACACACACACACACACACACACACACACATCACCTCACAGACTTACCACTGACACCATAAGGAAACATTCTACTGGGAGGTTGCAAGGACAGGAGCATGTGCTGGGGAAAGCTCACACACCAATGCGGACATCCAAAGGGGCTTGGGTACAGCCGGATGTGAGACGTTTTATTACCATTCTGTCTGGAGAACTGTCTTAACCCCCTTTGCGGGAAAGCCCCTCCGAATAGCATCCCCATGTGATGCTTTAATATTTCTCAATAATGTCTTCTTGAGACCCAAGCCTCCAACACACAGATAACTGGAGATTCCAAGAACAGCCTTCTGCCCTCATGCCAAGTCTTCCTGTCCATTCCCAGTGCTACTCTGATGTGCTCTCCACAGTCTCAGTGTCTTCACTGTTCCTGCTCTGGCTGTGCTCACTCTTTATGTCTCCTCCTCCACTGCATACTTGCATTGCTCCCCATGACCTGAAAAACTGAATCAAGTCAGGAGAGAAGGCAAGAGTTCATTCAGTAAGGGTCAGAGCAGTAAGAAGCCGGAAGTCGAAGACTGGACTGAATGCTAGGGTGAATTGACCTACAGAGAATTTGTAAAGGGGCAGTGAAATGTGCAACACATGACAGAAGTATGTCGCTTCAAGAGATCAAAATGTGGACTTGAGATGGTGCTGGAGAAAGTGCTCTCCACACATGTAACGACCTGAGTTTTAATCCTCAGGAACCATGCAAATCCAGTGATGTGGTCTCTAGTTGTCCCCATAGTGCTCCTTCCATGAGATATGGATGGAGATAGAAATAGTCACTGGGGCTTGGGACCAGCTAGGCACAGGGATGAGCAAACCGAAAAAGACACCGTTTCAAACAAAGTAGAAAGAAGGCTGAACACCTGTTGCTGTCTAGTGACTTCGACACTTGGCACAAGCATGCCCACATTCACACATTTGTGTTCGCACCACCATAAACACATATGCTTACATGCATCCAAGGAAAACTAAGCCCAAGCCATATGATTAGGCACACATCTGCAATGCTGAAACTCCAGAGGCAGACACAAGAAATCCCCAAATTCAATGTCATTTTCAGGTACTTGGGCCCAGCCTTGACTCACCCAGACCATGTCTTCAAACAAATAAAAGAGCCAAAAGCACGTTAGTGAAGACACCAATAATAAGTCTATGACACATACCTAGGTGACAATCAACAGTGGTTCTGCCATGGAAGTGGTTAACATTTGTTTGGGGATAAGGATTACAGAGGGCATGCCAACAAGTCTGGTCCAGCCTTGCTGCATAGACAAGGATGGCGTTGATCTGCTTGTCTCCACCCCATGAGTTCAACTTTCCTGCAGAGCCTGGATAATTGTTATTTGTGACACTTTAGTGGATACATATCAAGTGCTGGGGACTAATTTCTGGATCCAACAAGAAATACCCACAAGCTATGTGTTAGTGGGGAGTTATTTTCAAGAAACAGACAAGTAAGCACCTGCCTACTGGTGAGCTGTACTGGAAACACACAAAGATTTGATGACAGAGATGAGAAGAATGGTATTTTATTTGGTGCTGAAAAGAAAGATTCTTATCAATACAGCAACCTATTGGCTAAAATCAAAGAAGGTACGAACAGAGGTTATATGACACAATTAATAATCAGGTCAACGGAGTGATTATGTGAACTAATGTGTGAGACAGACACTGAGAGTGAATGAAGGCTTTTGAGGTTTTATAATCACCTTAGCATATGTGTGGAAAGCAGAGCTGATGATTATGAGAAATATATGATATACTTCCATGTGAGGAAGACAAGACGTAGAAGAATTTGATCTTCTTCTCTTTACTCAGCTCACCCATATCTGCAATTTCCTACAGTGCCATCCTTCTCGTTTCTTACTTTTCAATTTTCAGTCTCTGATTTTGCACATAATGCTCTTATACTGTACTGTTCCCACAGGCTACAGACACATCTTCCAGGCCAGATGTGCCTAGCAATGCAAAAATGACACAACATTACTGTGTAATTTTAGTGCTGTGTGGTGAATTTGAGGCTGGATTCTCTGGAGGGAATTCATGCCTGGTACTATAAATGTGGTCATGAACCCATAGCTGGAGAGGCCATAGTCCCCACAGTGGGGTTCCTACTGCTGTTTACTAAATGGCCATGTTGTCAAACTGCCCTCTAAATATTTCAATTATTTGTGCATTTCTTTAACTTTGTCACAGAAGATAAATTTTTGCAGCTGGCATTAGTTAATGCAGAGATTTATCAGTGATCAAAATACAGAGAATGATTGTGAGTGCTCAGTCATTGATGTGATTTCTATATCACCCCCCTACACAAGGCTCAGGAAATACTACAGAGCAGGGAGTAGAAGGAAGGTAAAAGCCAGAGGATGGGGAGGAGAGCTTTGAAATTGTCCTCTGTGAATCTTGCCCTCTGGATATGACTTGGCTGTTGTGCAAATGATCTCATATCAGTGGTTGCTTACAAAGACCTGCATAAGATAAAGCCTGTTAATATTTCATGACGCAAGGGGAAGGGTGCCCTGGTTGAAGAGCTATTTGCAATTGATTGCAGCTAGATGATAGGTTTTTTTTTTTTTTTATCTCCTTTGGGTATGTGACTCCTGTTCGGTATCCCATGTCCGTGCGGATGACCGCACATCATGCACAAATGAGCACCGCTAGTTAGCCTCATATATATAAATATATTAAGATTTGAAGTTGTGATATGGAGGCGTTGGAGGAACTTACATGTTGGAGGGCATATAGGAAACTTGAATAGACACACTATATTCACTTTTTAAATTTTTAAAGAATGTAAATATTATGTAAAAGAAGCAAAAAATATAAAAAATAAATCAAGAACAGAAAAGAACATAGGAAGATGCTTGTCTTGTCTGGTTGAAACTCTAAAAGCAGATAATTCAGGAAGAATGAGCCAATGTTTGATGCCATTATATTCATGTAATTTCCATTATTTCTGAGGACACCAGTTCCAATATCTAAGACTCATTTTCTCCAAGATTAATTTTTTTGTTTGTTTTTTGTTTTTTTTTTTTTTTTTAGTTCTTCAGAAACCAACTCATAATGACTTTTCACTATGTCACTGTAGTTTAGTTCATCTCTCATCCCTCATCAGAAAAGCTCATCCATGTAGTGGATGGTGATTAACTCAAAGACCCATAGCCGCTAAAGGTGCAGACAATTAGAGACTTTGAAGTTATGAGCAGTAAATGGGGCTTCTGTATCAAACTTTTTTCTCCCAAGGTTCGGGATCATTTTTGATGGGGAAGAGCATACTGTAGAGGCAGAGGTGGCAGACGACTACTCTAAAACAGTGTTTTCTGGACACTTCATGGCAGTTGGATTTATGAACTCAGCAGGTGTGACTGCAGCCACAAGATCTGTACAAGCTTAAGCTAGACAAAATCCCAGCAAGGAGCAGGAGGTTGGTCAAGATGTCCTACCATTGAGGATCT